CAATGAACACATTGTATTCTGGATACTCCATAAAATTACTTATAACAGAAACCAAGAAAAACCTTTTTTTTTTTTGGTACAAAATTTTTGGTCTTTTTTTATTTAGCAGTGGCTAAATAGAAACTAAAGGAAAGCTCTCTCTTAAAAAAATGACAAAAATGTCATATGGGTACAGTGGTGCTTGACCGCATAGTTGTCATTTAAAGTGCGACAATTCTGAAAGCTGAAAACTGGCCTGGGCAGGAAGGGGGTGAAAGTCCCTGGTATTGAAGTGGTTAAAGGGTCAAAGTTCTCTACCTTTTTCTTTAAAGCATTTCTTAAGGTTAATTTTTTTTTTTTTGGGAAAATAACCAGCATGTTATACTTACCTGTTGTGTCCAGAGGTTTTGCACAGAGCAGCCTGGATCCTCCTCTTTTCAGGTCACCTGCCGGCGTTCCTGGATCCTTCTTTCTGTCAGGTGCCTCCATAGCAAGCAGTTTGCTATGGGGGCACCCAAGCAGGCTGTTCACACACAGAGCCGCGGCTTGGCCCCACCCCCCTCTCTTCATTGGCTGACTGGTTGTGATTGACAGCAGTGGGAGCCAGCAGCTCCTGTTTGCTTTCTCAGCCAATGAGGAGGCAGAGACCTGGGACAGCCGAGGCTGTCATTCACATTGCTGGATTGTGATGAGGCTCAGGTAAGTATTAAGGGGGGTGGGGGGACCTGCCGCACACAGAAGGTTTTTTTTTTTTTACCTTCATGCATAGAATTCAGCCTTGAGCCTTTACAACAACTTTAACATAGTTTTGTTTATTACGAATGTAAAGGCTGCTTTGAAAATAGTTTTACCTAAATTAATGTTATAAATTCTTGATTATAGTTTATTTTATGTGTGTTATGCGGGCAGTTTAGGGCCAGCTAAAAAAGTTGGCAGCCAGCAGAGTATCATTGGTCACCATGGTGATCGGTATTTTCCGATGTTATTCAACTGACATGTTTACACACATTTACAACCACGTAGTAAAATGTGTGTGAATATATTAGTAAAACAGACCCAGGCAATGTACACACCCTACTTGCTGATGCATACTGCTATTCCTAGATTGTAAGCTCCAAGGAGCAGGGCCCTCGAACCCCTCATGTATTGTATTGTTACTGTACTGTCTCGTGTATTGTCTCCTATTGTAATGTACAGCGCTGAGCAAACCGTTGGCGCTATATAAATACTGTATAATAATAAATAATAATACATGCACATTACAGATCCATACACTATTCCCCAAAATATATACAGTAACTGATGCATAGGGGGAGATTTACTAAAATTAGAGCACTCAGAATCTGGTGTAGCTGTGCATGGTAGCCAATCAGCTTCTAACTCCAGCTTGTTCAATTAAGTTTTGACAATAATACCAGGAAGCTGATTCAGTTCCATTTACATCAGTTTATATATCAGTTCAGATCAGTTTACATTAGTTCACATCCGTTGTGTTCTGTTTCCGAATCTGGACGTTGGCTGTTCAAACAGATCTGAACTGACATGGATTAAGGTAGATGTAAATGGATGATAATCTGTTTACCTCCGCTTACCCATAGACATACATTGTGGTTCAGTCTGGATCCATCTGGAAAACTGACAGACAGATCTAGACTGAACGCCTGTGTGAAAACGGGCCTAAATCTCCCCATAATATCCCCTGCCTGCACATGTATGTAAAACACATGTAACTGATGCAGTGTTCTCTACATACACGCACACACATGTAATTGATGCATAGATGGGTTAGTGGATATTGTTAGACTTTTTTGTAGAATGAGTTCCCTTTCTGTCAATGTGTGGAGAACACTTTGAAATACTGTTGAGGAACAGCTATGTAACTGTATTAGGGATAGTACTGGTGGAAAGGATAGTCATTTACCCCAGCAATAGAAATCTAGGCTTTTGGCTGGAAAAAAAACTCCTCCCAAGGAGCCAAGAGGAGTTCTTTTAATTTTTCCCAATTTCAGAGCCAGACCAAAGTCAGGGGGCCATTTCAGTCATAAACCGTGGGCTCCCAAACCTCCCAAGCCTTATAAACAAGTCCTTTTCAGCATGAATGCTTCCACTTTCTAAAGTGGGAGGGCATCTGTATCTTATGCAGACACCTGGTTAGCAAGCACCTTGGATGCATGGGTAAAAGATGTGGTGTTCAGCTGCTGAAATCGTTTCATTCTTTACATCTGCTTTGCCTTGCATTGTCCAACCAGGCCTCCATGCTGCTCTAGCAGACCCATTAGATCAGGGGTTTCAAACTGGTGGCCCTCCAGCTGTTGCGAAACTACAAGTCCCATCATGCCTCTGCCTGTGAGAGTCATGCTTGTAACTGTTTGCCTTGCAGTGCCTCATGGGATTTGTGGTCCTACAACAGCTGAAGGGCTGCCAGTTTGACACCTCTGCTTTAGATCATGAAGTAATTGCCATTGTTCTATCTGCAGGAGGGCTTCAAGGTTTTTATCCAACCTTTTTGCCCCATCTGAAGGCCCTAAATGTCTTCATTCAAACCCAAAATGTTTTTATGGAATACCAGGAATGTCAAAGCTTCCTCCATCATGAATCACAGCACTGCCAGTTTGTAGCCCCTCCATTTGGCCTGTCTTTTGTTCCGCAAATGTTCATCAAGGTATTAGCATCTGTGCTACCATTACTATGCTCCCAGGGTGTTTCATTGCTGGCTACTTGTATGACCTCGTGCTGAAAGAACAGTCATCACAAATACTGGCTGACAATGTGATGCGGACTATTCAGACCTTAAAAAGGTTTGATTAGATCCCTAACCTTTAAAAAAATCAGCGCTGGGATCAACACATTGCTTGGAGTATCTGGGTCTCATGCTACGTACAGTTAGGCCAGTGTTCTTACACCAAAAAAATTTCTAACTCCCAGAGTCGGACTCTATGGTCCAGGAGCCATCCAACGCTTCAGTTCTACATGAGAGTTCTAGGTTTGATGGTAGTTTAATTTGCTCAATACTACTCTAGACTCCTACAACTCAAAATTCTGTCTGCATAGGACAAGAACATACAATCTCGTACAAGTCATGAGCACCTTTTATAGGTGCAGGGGACTCATAGGGGAGTTGATGACACACTTATGTCCTAATCAACTTACTGGAGCTCGGAATGACTTGGTTGTCCCTTCAACCAAGTGGCATACATCAACCATTAGGGAGGAACCAAAAGCTTTGCTTGTGTAGAACTTCACATTCCAGCCTTGTCCACCATTCACATCTCAGACATGGATAATTTCCAGGCAAATAATGACAACAGTGGCGCAAAAGTGAAGTTAATACACGTTAGAAATAATAATGCAGAAATGACTAGATACTATACACGACAAAAAGGGAAGGAAAAGAGTTCAAAGATAAAATAACTAGAAATGCTGGGATGCTAAAGGGACATAATAGTCCATAAAAAAGTATCTTATTGCATCCAACAACACTAGTAGCCGATCCTCTATGAGACTGAAAGATTCTCTGTAGGGAACAAATGGAGACAGCAGAGAGCACTAACTAAGTATAGCATATATAAGAATTTCATTATATAAAAACAAATAGGAACTCACATAGTAAAACCGAGAAAAAGCATATCTGTTTCCAAACTCATAAAGGATGGTGGGTGTTCTCCTGCTGGGCTATCATGGGTAGAGATCCACATTGGCACCCATCAGCTGCTTGGGAAACATAGACAGCCGATCCAGGAAGGGCCAGAGCCACAGTAAAACGCATGGTAGATGCAGGACAGGAAGTGACTTGACAGAGGAGCACTGACGCTCTGAAACGCGTAGCTACTCCCCTGCCTTGCGGTCCTCCTACGGGTGATGTTAACGCTATAGCCTCCAGCAGTGACCATTGTGTTCTGCTGGATGGGAATGCTCCCTGCTAGCAGAACACAATAGCACTGCGGGAGGGATTTCCACTGACGGTTGATGGAGGGATCACACAATTTTCTTTTCTCCCCTTGGTAATGGAAGGAAAGGAAATTGTATATTTTTATAGGCTGCTTTACAGTGCTAAAGTTCACATGTCTGCATATGAAGGAGAAAGGAGATAATATCATGGAGATAAGACAAGATACTATCCTTGTAGGTTTAACTCTATTGTGCCTCCCTGGCAGCAGTGTTTGTCCTGTCACCTCTCCTGCTTTTCTTTTCTCCCTCCGTAATCTGGGTTCCGCTGCACAGTCTGAGTCATTCCTGTTGCTTTCTTCCCTCCTCAGCAGCAGTAAATCTTAAAGCTGTCAGCAAATCACTGTTTAGTGGTTCTGATTTTAGGCACAGTGCCAAGAATAGAGAGCAGCTGAGCATGTGCAGAGCAGGGTGAGAATGCATTACTGAATATTACATTCTATAGGCAGGTATTTTTAATGTTTTACATAGCTATACCTGTAAAAGGGGCAGCCTGAAGTGATCCTTCAAGACTTAAAGGATATGTTCACCTTTTCGGGCAGAAGTTCACTTTTCATAATAAATAGAATTTTTTCCAATGCCATTTCTGTCTTCACGTCCCAGTTCGCTTTTCTATTACTTACCTTATCCACAGGAGGATTTAAAATCTTGTCTATTCATTTGAATATTGGAAATGATTTTTAGATTCTATCATTCCTGTAGATCATCTCTCAGCATTCTTTTTTTGTAGGACATCCCCCAGAAGCCTTCACTTCCTTGTTGCTTCACAGAAGAGGGTGTGTGTTAGGGCATGTCCACCGTTCTGGACCACACTTCCTTCTTTACAATACTATCTTCCACCCACTTTCTATACAATCTGATTGTACAATCTCTTTTAGATCTCCCATCAGCTATGTAGTACAAGGGCCTGTCTAACTTGATACAGATTGAATGGATTGTTCAGGTGTGTCCTCCTTTTCCATAGTTCTGGTAAATCTAAAGAAAATTGTACAGAGACTGTGCTATCAGATCACTGGTGCTGGCTGTCAGAATACAGTAGCCACATTGGGAGATTCCTCCATTTGTGCTGTATGGTGTAGATCAGGGGTGTCAAACTGGTGGCCTTCCAGCTATTGCGAAACTACAAGTCCCATCATGCCTCTGCCTTTGGGAGTCATGCTTGTAACTGTCAATCTTGCAATGCCTTATGGGACTTGTAGTTTGGCAACAGCTGGAGGGCCGCCAGATTGACACCCGTGGTGTAGATGGAGGAATCTGTTAGTTTAACTGTGCATGGCCATTTTAACTAATCTCCAATTCCTGAGAATATCGTTAAAGCTGATCAAGGTTTTCGTTAAGTTTGAATAGTTTGTTTGGACCAAACTGGTGCAAATGAACCATTTACTTCACTAACAGCGGCTATGTGTGCTGTACAAACTGCCTCAGCTATATACAGCATACAGTGTTGTGTTCCTGCAGTAGGATAGGAACTTCCTGTCCCGCTCCTGGAACACAATCCGGTCAGGCTGAGCGCTGCTCACCCATTCACAAGAAGCTTGGTATTCTACAAATGAATGTTAAACTTTCTCTGATTGGCTGAGGCAGGTGGTTGAAGTCACAATATCTGCCTCATCCAGTCAGAGGAAGCTTGGTATTCATTCATAGAATGCAAAGCTTCCTGTGAATGGCTGAACAGAACTCACCCGGACTCAATTTTGTTTCAGGAGCGGGATAGGAAGTTGCTGTTCCGCTGCCGAAACACAGCACTCTATGTAAATTGTATGTAGCTGAGGCTACTTGCAATCTATACAGCACACACAACGGCTTCAAATAGTTCCTTTGAACCAGATTGATCCAAATGAAATATTTAAATTTTCTCAAAATTTGGAGATCGGCATAAAGGGCTGCTGTACACCAAACATAGACATCTTTAATTTTCTTGTAGTCATATAACTCTTTATGCTCTTTTTTTTCAGCATGTTATGGGATTGTGCAAGTGCCCACAGGACCATGGTTCTGCCGAAAATGCGAGTCACAAGAACGAGCTGCAAGGGTGGTGAGTTTGTGACACATACGAATACTTATATATTCAGGCCTTAAAGAGTAACTCCACTTTTGTTGAGAGAAAAACACAATCTCCTCTGGGTGATCAATGTACAGTTGTGCTCAAAAGTTTGCATACTCTGTCAGAAATCGTGAAATTATGGCATTTATATTGAACATATGACTGCTCTTGCCAAAAAACTGTCTTTTGTTTAAGGTTAGTGATCATAAGAAGCCATTTATTATCACATAGTTGTTTGGCTCCTTTTTAAATCATCATGATAACAGAAATAACCCAAATGGCCATGATCAAAAGTTTCCATACCCTGGAATGTTTGGCCTTGGTACAGACACACAAGGTGACACACACAGGTTAAAATTGCAATTAAAGGTTCATTTCTCACATTTGTGACTTTTTACATTGCATTTAGTGTCTGTGTATAGAAAATAGTCAGTTAGTTTGTTAGGTGGATTCACTGAGCAGGCTAGATACTGAGCCACGGGGAGTGGAAAAGAACTGTCAAAAGGCCTGCACAAAAAAGTAATGGGACTTTATAAAGATGGAAAGGGATATAAAAAGATATCGAAAGCCCTGAATATGCCAGTCAGTACTGCTCAAGCACTTGTTAAGAAGTGGAAGGTTCAGGGATCTCTTGATACAAAGCCTAGGTCAGGTAGACGAAGAAGGATTGCAGCCACAACTGCCAAAAGAATTGTTCAGGATACAAAGAAAAACCCACAGGTAACCTCAGAATAAATTATAGGGTGCTCTGGAAAAAGACGGTGTGTTTTTTTGTTTTTAAGTAGAACAATATGAAAATACTTGATCAAAAATGTAGCTGTATGGTTGAGTTGGCAGAAAGAAGCCTTTACTGCGCCAATGCCACAAAAATATGCCTAACATCTTGACACACCTCACCAGGCTTTTTTGTAGCATTTGTGCAGTAAAGGCTTCTTTCTGGCAACTCGACTATACAGCTCATATTTATTCAAGTATTGCCATATTGTGCTCCTTGAAACAACCACACCATCTCTTTCCAGAGCAGCCTGTATTTCTCCTGAAGTTACCATTCCTTTGGGTTGTTCTTTGTATCCCAAACAATTCTTCTGGTAGTTGTGGTTGCAAACGTCCTTGGTCTACCTGACCTTGACTTGGTACCAAGAGATCTTCAAACCTTCCACTTCTTTAATAAGTGATTGAACAGTACTGACTGGCATATTCAAGGATTTGGATATCTTTTTATATCCCTTTCCATCTTTATAAAGTTCCATTACCTTTTTAACCATGTCTTTTGACAGTTCTTTTCCTGCATCTCATGGCTTATTATCTAGCCTGCTCAGTGCATCCACATGAGAGCTAACAAACTCACTATGTATACACAGACACTAACTGCAATGTAAAAAGTCACATATGTAGAAAATTAACCTTTGATTGGCATTTTAACCCGTGTGTGTCACTTTGTGTGTCTGTACCAAGGCCAAACATTTCAGGGTATGTAAACTTTTGGTCATGGTCATTTGGGTGATTTCTGTTATTATGATTTAAAAAGGAGCCAAACAACTATTTGATAATTATAAGTAGGTAATAGAGCGCTGGGAATGCATAAGTGAAGCAGCTAGCATAAAAGGTAACCTTGGGACCCAGATAGAAACATGAGAAATAAAAATGCAGCGCTTAGGAAATTAAATATGAACAAACAGAAACATGAGCAGCATAACTGCATGACAAATTCAGTCCATATTGCATGGTGCGATAAAGTGACAGGTGCAATTGTCCTAATATTCATGTTCAGAGAAATTCGTGACTCTTGTGATCTCGTGATTTGTACAAATAATGCACTAACCAGATAGCGCAATCAAAGCGCATGGAGCAATTAAGACCCGCTCCTGGTGCTCTGGACTTGTAATATTAGGAGGATGTCATCTGTAGGTTTGGCCACCAGATGTCATCAATCCAGGTATATAGGTAAGTCATCAACCAGAAAGATCATCAGCGGGGGAGGGGTGATCATGCATCATTCCCAGATGGACGGAACCTTCAAAAGCGGGCTCCCATATCATAGATGAGACCCAGAGAAGCCTATCAAAGTAAGGTCAGGCCACCAGGGTGTCAATAGGATGGCTTTGTGGTATGTATACACAGGTCAAGGGCACCTCCCTAACGCGTTTCGTGTACAAAACACTCCCTCTGAGGAAGTGTTTTGTACACAAACGCGTTAGGGAGGTGCCCTTGACCTGTGTATACATTACCACAAAGCCATCCTGAACACCCTGGTGGCCTGACCTTACTTTGATAGGCTTCTCTGGGTCTCATCTATGATATGGGAGCCCGCTTTTGAAGGTTCCGTCCATCTGGGAATGATGCATGATCACCCCCTTGATCTTTCTGGTGATGACTTACCTATATACCTGGATTGATGACATCTGGTGGCCAAACCTACAGATGACATCCTCCTAATATTACAAGTCCAGAGCACCAGGAGCGTCTTATTTGCTCCATGCGCTTTGATTGCGCTATCTGGTTAGTGCATTATTTGTACAAATCACGAGATCACAAGAGTCACGAATTTCTCTGAACATGAACTATTTCAATTGCACCTGTCACTTTATCGCACCATAATATGGACTGAATTTGTCATGCAGTTATGCTGCTCATGTTTCTGTTTGTTCAATTTAATTTCCTAAGCGCTGCATTTTTATTTCTCATTGCAACTATTTGATAATAAATGGCTTCATATGATCACTATCTTTAAATAAAAGAGCATTTTTTGGCATGATCAGTCATATTTTCAATATAAATGCCAACATTTTATGATTTCTGCCAGGGTATGCAAACTTTTGAGCACAACTGTACATTGAAAGGATTTTGGCAAACTTTGTAGCAGATTACTGTTTTTGTTCTTAAGAAAAGCTGAATGTTCCACTCTGTCCTTGGTATATGAATTCCTGAATGGGATTGTCTGTGTTCAATACATCTAATGCAATTTCAGCATTCTAATGAGGGAAGTTTCAGTGTCTGCATCCTTTTAGAAGTATTAACCTTAGTGAGTAGCTTATCAAAAATAATATTGCTACTGCAGATGATGCCTAAAATTTTACTTATATCTTAGTGTAAACTTCTGGGGAAATCAGTGAGCCAATCACTCAAGTAGGAAATTACATTTCTGTAGGGGGAATGTTCTGTACACTAACTATGTACAGAGGACCTACAGGTTGACGTAAAATTACAGCAGCTGCAGCTTGAAAACAAAAAGTAATTTTTTAAAAACATTGAATTACAATATGGTTAGTATAGCATATGTATATGGTGAGTATTTTGCAGATCTACATTTTTTTCTCACAAGGTTTTGAAATATAAAAAATATGTTTTTGTTTTTTTTTCTTCATTTTCCAAAAACTTGTGGCAACAAACAAGATCTGCAAAATACTTACCATGCTTCTTATCAAATTCCTTGGGGTGTCTGCTTTCCAAAAAGCTGTCATTTGGGGGTATTGGTGCTATCCTGGCATTTCAGGGCCTCCGAAACTGTGATAGGTAGTCTGGAAGTGTAATGAGGAAATAAAGCCCTTTAAAAGCCTGAAGGTGTTTATTGGATTTTGGGGTCCTGTACTTGGCTAGACTGCCAAAAAAATCTCTCATATGTGGTACCCCCATACTCGAGAGAAGTTGCAGAATTTATTTTGGGGAGTAATTCCACATATACCCATGGCATGTGTGAGCAGTATATCATTTAAGTGACAATTTTGATTATAAAAAAAATATATATATTTTTTTGTAATTTTCCAAAGACTTGGGGTAAAAAAAAAAATTCTTCTATTGACTCAACATGCCTCTCAGCAAATAGTTTGGGGTGTCTACTTTCCAAAAAGGGGTTATTTTGGGGGGTGGGGGCATTTTATGCCCAGCATTAGAAGTTTATCCCACACATCACTCACTCTTCTAACCACCTGAAGACCAAGCCTTTCTAACACTGTGTTCACATGAAAAAAATCTTTATTTTTTGCTAGGAAATTACCGTGAACCCCCAAACATTATATTTTTTTAAAGCAGACACCCTAGTGAATAAAATGGTGGGTGCTGCAATTTTTTATGTCACTTAGTACTCGTGCAGCGATTTTTCAAATGCAATTTTTTTTTTTAATTTCAGTGCACAAACACAATATATAGTCCAATTATTTGGTAACATATAAAAGATAATGGTATGTCGAGTAAAAA